ATATTCTGTTAGTCACTTCTACTCTGGGTCTTCTCCAGAGCAGAGCCACTTCCAGAATTGTGGCATTCATTTGTGTACAAAAATGTTTTAATTAAGGGACTTAATTACCCAGCGATTAATCATGAACAGGTTGACAACTAAATAATCAGGTCGAATCACCAGCTTTTGGTTGTAGCTTCGCCCATGCAGGCACACGCTCCGCCCATTGCACTTCGTAAACGTACCGTCCAAAGTACTGACGATTGGTGGGCGGAGCGTGCGCCAAAGTGGGCGGAGTGAGGTGAGTAAATCGCAATTTCTTCAGAGCAACCCTGAGAGTGGGAAACGTGGAAGAAGCTGATTGGCAGTTGAAATAAGGGAGACACAACAGAAGCGGGAGGGGCATGGACCAATACGAAGTGGAAAAGTCGCACGAATTCTCTTGTCATGACGCTTAAAGAGGAAAAAAACAGGCACAGTTCGGCTTGGTGGGGGCAGTTCCCTGGTTCCTATCGACCACTGCCAATGCTTTCTGTGCAGACCTCTAATTCCTGTAAAGCTATGCAATAACACGGGCTCTCTTTACATTAGACAAGAGTCTACAGGCCTCACCAGGGTGAGACGTGTAATCCAAAACGAACTAGCAAAAGGATCTAGCGAAAGTGTAGAATGCCCCTTCCAGTTGTACAGGCTCGAAAAATAGAGAGAAAATCCTCACCTAACCAATTCCGTTGTAGATATATAGCTACAAAACTGGGCGGAATTGTGCAATAATCGATAAAAGAGTATAATTCGAGTAGAAACCATACTTTGTCGGAAGCTGCGATAAACTGAAACATTGCTTATTAGATAATAAATACTGAGGTTCACTAGCTAAAAGGGCTCCATGAAAAGTGACCGCTTGTTAAGGATGGGGGTGAGGAAGTAATTAGAGGCACCCTGCCTCGCACAGCTGGTTTGAACGTGCTGTCCTTGCTCCTAGTATGGGTGGAGCCAGGCCTACCACTACGCGTTTCGCACTGATGTGCCATGCTCTTTGTTGTTCTTGGAAGGAAAGAAGCAAAAGTGACGAGCGCAGAGTGTCCGGCCCGACTCCGCCCACACAGTCAACATGGAGGGCTTTTAGTGACTCTTCATGGTGCTGGGATTCGTAGCGTGTTAGAAACAAGACTAACATTAAGATGTGTTAGGAATGTCAAAAAGAGATGGCTAGTTATGAACGAAATCCGGTTGTAGCCAAAGAAGTCCTATAGGTTACAAAGCGAAAACTGGAGCCGAACTTGTTTCCATGTGCGTCCCGCTCCCGCTTCCCGCTTGAGGCCCGACGAATACATGGGATGGGAACCCCGACTGGAATCTTTACGCTTTGACCTCTGAGATTTTCGCAAGACCTAATTAGCAGCCATCAAACCACCCTGCCTATCAAAAGAACGGCAAGATTCTGACTCGCCTTACTACAGTCTACGGTCCCTCAGGATTAGGCCCGACTAGGTCCGCACTGCCAGAAGTAGGCAAGAGCCCAAGGGATCTCTAAAATCTCACCTTACCAAAAAGAAAACCATTGAATACCCCCATTACTCACAGATAGACTGATAGCCGAACTGCCACTGTTGCTTTTCTGAGTACGAAAAGCTACAGCAGCTGATCATTTCCTTGGGCGCCTCCCACGGGGGAGGATTTGTGGGGCGCACACTGTTGCGGGTGCTGCTCGTCGCAGGGGGGAGCAGTGAAGGATCGTGGTACTTCCGGCAGCCTTGGGCCATTAGTAGCAAGGCGGCCATGGGGGAGATGCACTCTAGGCTGAAGAGGGCCACTTGCACCGTTTGGCAGCTTCCTAAGGGTTTACAGGCATCAACTGGTGAGTTGACATGTACTGACAAATGGATTTAGCGAAAATATAGAAGGGCCACTCCGTGCCGAACAGCGCCGATTTCACACGTTTTCCATTTGCCAGGCATGTTAGAGACAGGATTATGCACAGTAAAATTTGCCTCTTAATCTACGTAATGGACGATTACAGCTGCGTACCACAAAGAACCCTCCTGGCAATTCCAGTACCTTTAGGTACAAGAGGCGGAGTACTGGCGTTCTCCCAATCCTGATGATCACTTGAGCACAGGTGATTCCACGCATATAACTGGGGAAGATGTGCGGGCAAGGAAGTCCTCTAACAAAATCCCTCTAATTCCTCTAACATGACCTCTGTCCTCCCACAACTACATATTCCTCTGTCAAGTAGTCGGGAAGTTTCGGGCAGTATTTTTCTGACCACCTCTTCCCTATGTAATTCTCCCCTCCTCCGAAGAAATATGACTCGCTTCCCCATTATCGACAACTATCATTTTGCCGACGCCCATTAGCACATGTACTTAGCGCGGAGGCAAATTTCAATGTACCCTTTTTTTAGGGCAATTGCACTCAGACAATGAGCTCTCAATGGAGGGAAAAGTCTCCCATTATAGCAGACATTATTCAGATGGATTTTCAATAAAATCTGTGTTGCCCCGGTTACCTAGTTACGGTAGCAAATAACCGCAGCTTAACGGTCGTTCGCCAATTATTGGCCCAATTCGGCTTGGTGTGGGCATTCCACCGGTTCCCATCTACCACTCTCATTGCCTCCTGCGGAAACCTGTGAATTCTTGTAAAGCTATGCGGGAGTAAGAGTTTACCCTTGACAAGGTCTACAGATCCCACCAGGACGAGAAGTGTATTTTAACAGGATTTAACCAAAGGAATAGCGGAAACGCAACCCTCCCCACCCTAAGCCGAACAACGCCAAATTATTAAAAACACGGCACACAGTAATTGTGAAACGAACTTGGGGTCCTATCAGGTTGCCGAGACAAGGGGGGGGGGCGCATTTGGCTTGGTGATGTCCCCCAGCGTGAGAGTTTTACGACTAGCAATAGTTCCCATAGTTGATCAGATGCCTGTTTTCCACCCTTACCCTTCTTCCCCACCCGCTCAACGAATTCGACGGGTTTGGGTGGTCGCAGAGGAGAATAGGCAGGGAGGCAGGGAGGGGGAAGCAGGGGCTTTAACACGTATGAGGGCACTGGAACATTTCCCAGCCCCTCGTAATGTTCCCTGATAGTAAGCCTTTGAAGCGCTTAGGCGTTCCTTCACATCCTCTCTACACTCGAAGTTTGTCATGGCCTTTTTCCTTGCGAAATTTGGTGTTCCTAAGGCCTCTGCCAGGCTTTTCGAAAATTTATGGAAGTTTCTCGGGGATCATCAATTTAACGACGTAACTTACTCGTATAAAAAAGTATACAAGGAAGAAAATGTTGAAGCCGAGATCGATTTGTTGCGATGGACTCTCCTGCCACGGAATGCACGTCTCCACTTGGAAATTTTGACTGAAATTTGATAAATATGAATAAAAATATGTATCATGCACCTACTTTACACGTACACAACAATGAGGAAGGCGCAGTGATAGGCCTAACTCCGCCCACACGACCAACATGGACATGGCTTTTAGTAATTGCTTAAGGCTACACTTTCATCTATCTACTCTTTCATTCCTTTACAATATTCATATTCATACATTTCTCTCTGGTATGTTCCAGGCTCTCTAAGGGTTAGGAAATGTTCCTTGCGCTTTATGAAAAGCAAGGGCGGGACGAGTAACCTCGAGCAAGAGCATTTAAAGGACTCGTTGTGCAAAAGTGGGAATAACGTCATCCGGTGCAGAAATGCCGTCCTTTGAATTGGTTTACCGTCCCCAGAAGTCCTTCACCCTTAAGAATCAACCCGAGGTTCTCATATCCTCTGCGAGATTCACAGTTCGGCACAAAGAGTCCTATGAAAAATTTCCTTTAAGATTATGAGCGCCAACAAAACAACAAAAACGAAAGATTAAACGAATTTTATTGACCTTTACTCTCATTGATTATGCTTATTTCACGATTATTTTGGCTCTATACCGTTCGCGACCGTATGCCTTGAAGCTGGTCCGGGTGAAAGAGTGCCTGGCTTCTTGAGTTTGGGAGAGTTTTTTGCTGATCATACGATCTTCCCCACCCCCTTCACAGCCTACCCGAAACCAACCACCTTTACCAAACTTCTCCAAAACCTTGCTGTCGAGAGAAGGAGGGGTTCAAGAAACTCCATTACTGGCTAAATTATTCGCAGCAGCATTCCGTGGGGCATGCACTAACTGACGCCCGAAACGGAAAAATGCACATTTCGGAACATTCTTCAGTGCCTTATACGAGTCTCCTCCCTCCACGACCAATAAGACCAGCACCAGGCCGCAACGTACGACTGTACCTGGTGCCAGTTACGACATGGCTCTGGTGAAAAATAGACATTTATTTCGCAGGATCTTTCTGAGTTTTAATGGAGCCATTTCACTTCTTTCAGACAGGCCAGAAATCAAAGGGGAAGTTGTTAGCAGTCAAAGGCTTTTACAAAAAAGCAGACTTGGATACTTTTTTTAGAAACACAATTTGTGCATTTGCTGGATTTGCGATTGCTTTAATTTATCTAAAGGTAATGAATGAAAGCCTAGGAGATGGCAAAATCAAAATGTTGAAATATAGTAGCCCTGGTTGTGAAGATTATAAAGATAAGGTGCAGGCAAAGCCTTCAAAGTGCCACGATGTCCACTCTGCCCCCCCCCATTCCCCTCCATCGAAGAGCTGCGCCGAATATAGCATTCAGCTTGATCATTGGTCCTTTGGGATGCATCACATCTTCGGCTCCCTCATAGAGCCGTGGTAATGCAATATTGCTCCTACGACTTGCCACGAACCAGATGATGCACAAACCATCGTTTATGGCCTCCTGGACAAGTCTGGAGATCCACTTCTCCGATCCCGGAACGACGAGCGAGGAAATGCCTTGTTAGCCAATGTGAAATTCAATGGCATTCAAACCTATCACAAGGCGGGTGGTGAACGCGTCACCCACACCTGCACCACCACTGCCCCCGCGATTGTGTGTGGAGAAGTACAACGCTAAGGGAGTTATTACCAGAACGCGCCATGGGATATACTTTGATTCTGGAGCTTGGGAGCGTAGAAGTTAAGGTCTAGTCAAGCGCTCAGCGCTGTGCCATAATATGTATTCTTCATATGATCCCCTCGCTTTACGTACATTGAGGAAGGGCTTCGCTCCAATGAGGAGGGCGCGAAGGTTGTTAATCTCCGCCCATTTCTCCGCTTATCATGGAATATGCTTGTAGTTATTTTCCTTTGTCACTTTTTACTTTTCTGGCACTATACCCCTGCATTCACTTATACTCCGTATCCCTGGGACGGCGTAGGCGTGCCGAATATGGCACAGAACTGGTTACTTGGGATATTTCAATTTGAGACAACCGCCATCTTGTTCTTTGTTGGACAGAGACGTGACCATTTGGGTCAAAATGAAAATATCTCTCCAAAAGCATAGCCACCACGACGTTTAGTTGAAGTACGCAGCCACGCCTACCTCATCTCAGGGATTTCGAGTGTATCTCTGTTCAATCCTTTTACCGAGTTCACGAGGTTAGAATCATGGCGGGAGCCTGCCCCCCCCCAATACCACTGACTGAGTACAAATCCTAACGACATGCGTGCACCCTTCCCCCTTTCCCTCATGGTTCTTTCAAGCTCTTATTGCTGCCAAGAGCTTGAGGTGAACCGGAAGCCCCCTCGGATCCAGCATGGAATTCGCTATGTTGAAGAAATCTCTTTATTGTTTCGCGATTCACGCATGAATGACAACTCATCGTCAACCATTCAATGCGCCCAGACACAATTTTCCCAAAAAACATCACGTCCCTCAGGCAGCCAGGTAGCTCAAAAGTGCTCCGGAGAGTATCTCAACAGGACCAAGCCAGGGGTTT